ATACTAAAAGTACATAAAAGCCCTTAGAAGTCTAGGCCTATTATCCCTTCTTATAGTTAGATAACAAGCAGAGCTAGCGAGATTGTAGACTACTTTCTACAAAAATTACTACCTAAGTTTCCTTAGGTTTTAGACTCTACTAAAACCTTTATTAATAAGCTTAGGGAAGAAACTAATTGCCTTTAAGATACTTGGTTAATATCTAGTAACGTTACTTCTATGTACACCAATATTCCACCAAAAGAAGCCTTCCTAATTTGCTCTTCTTTATTAAAAGAAGTAGATTTAGAAGACGCCTCCCTAGAAGCAATTATCTCCTTACTACGCTTTGTACTAAGGAATAACTACTTTAGTTACCAAGGTACTACTTATAAGCAAATATCTGGTTTAGCTATGGGCACTTCTTGTGCCCCTATTATAGCAAATCTATATTGTGCTAGTAAAGAAGTAGACCTTGCGAGATACTGCCAATCTAATAACTACTTTTATAGTAGATATATTGATAATATCTTCTCTACCTTTAGAGGTACTAAAGAAGCACTCCAAACCTTTCTAAATAAAGTCCAATTAGGACCTCTAGAAATAACTTGGACTTATTCTAAAGTCTCTATAAACTTCCTAGACGTATAAGTTTACTCCCTATAAGGAAGACTTGCTACTACTATTTATAGAAAAGACTTAAATAAGTACCTATATATCCCATTCTCCTCAGCCCACCCTATTGCGGCTAAAAAGGCTTTTATCAAAGCTAAAAGGAGTAGGTTAAGGTTAATTTGTTCTGAAGAAGAGGATTATTATAATGCTTAAAGATTTTTCTTCTTAAACCTCTTAAGAAGAGGTTACCCACAAAACCTTTTAAATAAGCTATTTAGCCTCCCTCTTACAAGGACCCAAGAGGAAAAGGAAGATAATCTAATTATCTTTCCTAGTAGCTATAATCCTATTTAGGAGTATATTAATATATCCTCTATTAGTAAAGACTTTTATAAGATAGCAGAGGAGGTAGGACTAACCCTCCCTGCTAACCTTTATAAAAATAAGTTCTTACTCTCCCTTAAACGAACTCGTAATTTTTATAACTTGTTTAATAGATCTAATAAGATAATCTTAGAAGAAGAAGCTCTCCTAAATATAAATCCAGATCCCTAACTCTGAACGTAGTTTAACTACTAGTAATACTAGGGTGTTATAATTTATAATTAGGGGTTAAGAGAAGTACTAGGCTATTTGTATAAATGGCAATAGGCCTCTACTCTAGACGCTTAAACCTTAGGTTTGCAACTAGTTCTGAAATGAGACCCTAGTCTCTTTTTTAGCATTATTCTTCAATAATAGATACAGGATATTAGCCTTTTTCTCCTTCCTAGGGAGTAAGTTTAGTATTGTTAAGGTTCAAAACCTTAACCCTAACCTACCCCTAACCCTAACCCTAAAGGGGGAAGGATAGGTACTACTATCTTTAAAGAAAGTTTACCTATAAAGGCGCAAGATAGAAAACCTAACTCTTAAGAAGAAATACTAGGTATTCTAAGCAAAGATAAGAGCGAGCAAATAGCTCCTTATCCTCTCTTTAGGAAAAGAGATAATAGTAAAAAGCAAAAATAAAGAGGAAAGCTCTCTCTAATATAAGTCTTCTTGCTCCCTTATTTTTATCCTAGTCTAGTAACTAGATCCCTTCTAGTAAAACACAAAAAAAAGAGAAAGATAAGAAGAATTATCTTACTACTAAAGTTACTATCCCCTACCTAGTCTCCTACCTAGTAGGCTAGCTATTATTTTAGATAATAGTTACGTAATCTAGGATAGATTGGCTCTAGTAAACTAAATTATACTATCTCTATAGAGTAACTTCTTCCCTCTACTATACTTTTCCTATACTAGAGGGATAGATTTACCTAAAAAAGAGTAGTTATAAGAGGTAGTAAGATACTTTCTTACTAGATTCTTACCTTATTAGCCTAAGTGTGAGGGATTAAAACCCCTGCCTAGCTTAGGTGAGGGATTAAAATCTCTACACCTTAGGTGAGGGATTAAAATCTCTACACCTTAGGTAAGGGATTAAAACCCCTCTAATAAGCACTAAGAATTTAGCTTGCAGCTAAATGCAAATCTTAAGGTCTAAGCTTAGAATAGTACCTCCTTGCCCCCTGCTAGTAGAATAATTCTACTAAGCTAAGAGGAGGGGTACTGCCCTAGTGCGGTATTTCTTCTTCTAAGGCTATAGTTAGGTTATACTATCTTGTCTATAAAAGAACAAACTGCCTACAGTCCCTGAAGAGCACATAGGCGAAAGGAGAGTTATTTCTTAACCTCCTAGGACTGCTTCTTGTTCTCTTTAGGACTTTATCCTAACTTCCTTCTAAGCTAAGACCTTCAGCCTTAGCTTATCCTAACCCTAACCCTAATTATATAGTAGTAATATACTTATTTTTAAGTAAGCTTAACTAATACTAATTATTCTAGAGTTTCTCTTAGGAACTAATAGCTAGTAAACTACTTAATAATTTAAATTATGATCTATTTAACTAGTTAGTTTATTTTAATTTTATTATTATATATTTTAGTATATTAGGGTATTATAAATACTATATAATATATACTAAGTACTCTATTTATATTAGCTATTATAATATTACTTAGAAGTTTTATTATATTTTTAATTCTTATTTAGTATATACTAGATATATAATAAAAATTACTTAAAATATAAAAAAAATTTAAGATATAAAAAAAAATTAAGATATAAAAAAAAATTAAGATATATAAAAAAATTTAAAAAAAAAATTAAGATATAAAAAAAATATTTTGCCCTAAGAATCTACTCTAAATAGTGGTCTGTGCGTTAGGGGTAAGATATAGGTAATAGGGGTAGTAGATAGTAGGTAGTAGGTAGTATGGATAGGTACGGGCGATAGGTATAGGCGATAGGTATAGTAGGTGGTATAGTGGGTAGTATAGTAGGTGGTATAGGTGGGGTAGGGGTCGCAGGAAACAGGTTTTAGGTGGTAGGGGTTAGGGTAGGGGTCGCAGGAAACGGGTTTTGGGTGGCAGGGGTTGCAGGAAACGGGTTTTGGGTGGTAGGGGTTAGGGTAGGGGTCGCAGGAAACGGGTTTTGGGTGGCAGGGGTCGCAGGAAACGGGTTTTGGGTGGTAGGGGTTAGGGTAGGGGTCGCAGGAAACGGGTTTTGGGTGGCAGGGGTCGCAGGAAACGGGTTTTAGGTGGTAGGGGTTAGGGTAGGGGTCGCAGGAAACGGGTTTTAGGTGGCAGGGGTCGCAGGAAACGGGTTTTAGGTAATAGGGGTTAGGGTAGGGGTCGCAGGAAATGGGTTTTGGGTGGCAGGGGTCGCAGGAAACGGGTTTTAGGTGGCAGGGGTCGCAGGAAATGGGTTTTAGGTGGTAGGGGTTAGGGTAGAGGTCGCAGGAAACGGGTTTTAGGTGGCAGGGGTCGCAGGAAACGGGTTTTGGGTGGTAGGGGTTAGGGTAGGGGTCGCAGGAAACGGGTTTTGGGTTTTAATTTTCCTCGCACGGTCATTTCCTGCAAGACGCTAGTAGCGCACAGTCCTCTTTGGAGTCGTTTCCTGGCAGGAAACGACTTTCCCACAATATGTAGAGCACATAGGCGAAAGGAGAGTTATTTCTTAACCTCCTAGGACTGCTTCTTGTTCTCTTTAGGACTTTATCCTAACTTCCTTCTAAGCTAAGACCTTCGGCCTTAGCTTATCCTAACCCTAACCCTAATTATATAGTAGTAATATACTTATTTTTAAGTAAGCTTAACTAATACTAATTATTCTAGAGTTTCTCTTAGGAACTAATAGCTAGTAAACTACTTAATAATTTAACTTCTTAGTAATTAAACTAGTTAGTTTATTTTAATTTTATTATTATATATTTTAGTATATTAGGGTATTATAAATACTATATAATATATACTAAGTACTCTATTTATATTAGCTATTATAATATTACTTAGAAGTTTTATTATATTTTTAATTCTTATTTAGTATATACTAGATATATAATAAAAATTACTTAAAATATAAAAAAAATTTAAGATATAAAAAAAAATTAAGATATAAAAAAAAATTAAGATATATAAAAAAATTTAAAAAAAAAATTAAGATATAAAAAAAATATTTTGCCCTAAGAATCTACTCTAAATAGTGGTCTGTGCGTTAGGGGTAAGATATAGGTAATAGGGGTAGTAGATAGTAGGTAGTAGGTAGTTTTAAAAAGAAAAAATATAATAATTAAATATAGTAGTTATAAAATAAAGGAGAAGAGAGAAAAGTAAATTTAAGAGAATAAATTTTTTGAATAAGTATTGTTTTTGTGTTAATAATGTGATATTATGTGGGAGTAGGTGAATGTAAATGGTAATTAGAGAATATATAAGGAGGTAAGAGAAA